CCAGGTTGACTTGGGAGTACAGGAAGTTGACATCATGCTATTTATTTCGCATTAAATGGTGAATTTGTGTCTTTAACTGTCTCTCCCTCTCTCTTTCTCTCATACTATGACCCTTGCCAGCTTCATGTCTTAGCTTGTTTTACATGCATCTTCTCTAGTCATACGCATGGCGTCGATCAATTTGGACCCATTTCAAGGGCTAGCGCTATCCCATCCCATGATGGATGAATAAGTTTTACTCCTTCCTTCATACCCTGATCTCTCTCTCTCTCTCTCTCTCAAAGAAGAAATCTTCACAGTCCTAGTACTTTACTTTTATGTGGGTGTATCTTATCCCAATAAGCTCCTCGCTATATGGTTCTTCCTGCTCGAAGAGCGTTTGAATGGGTTCCCAAACTATGGATTACTACTCAATCTCAAGCTAAATCTTCACTTTGTAATCTATGTATGTTCCCCATCTTTTGTTTTCGAGCCAGATGCACCTACTTTCTTTTTGTTCTCTAACAAGGTTGGCTTGCGAGATGATCGGCCTCTTCCGTTCCCCCAGCTTTTTTTGGACGAGGGCATTATATGTCGACATAAGATACTTTACAATCAGTAAGTTTAGTTTGGGCAGGTGTTCGGATCTTTTCTCAGGATATTTCCCTTCTCCGATATGATCGAGTGTCTTGCTCTTCTATATGTCCGTGAAGAACGGTACTATATACTTTTATTGAATCCTAGTTGTCACAGCATATGCATGCTCGCTAATCTGATTTCGCAATCTTTTTCATCTGGTTTTGACACTTAAGCATCGGGCTGGAAGCACAGCAATAGCCGCAGAAAAAAGAAAACAGAATCGCTTTGTTTCTCAACTAGGTCTTCATGGTTCTGACCCCCCAATCTAATCGCTGGAGTTGTAACGAGTCCGTCGTATTTCCATTTCTAGGGTTTTGTTCAGCTTTCCGACTCATATGTCTTTATCTTAGGAAGAGCATGTTTGGCTGTTAGATTTTGTCTCCTTGGATTTACCATCTTATTAAATTCTCTTCTTGCTTAGCTGGTTGGGCTGCTATGATTTAGACCTGGAAACCCTAGCCTTCAGCTGAAGAAAGCTGAAATTGGAAGTTGCAGGGTTAGGGTTTCAACTCTGCTCGAGTTAAAACTGTGTCAGGCTTTTTCATTGAAAGATAGTAATTGCGGATGTTGACTCATTCCAACTACGTTCAAGTCATCCTCTGTATGGCTATATATTTTTAAATGTGTTGATCCAGGTATACACCTATCGCGATGACGATCATCATGGCTGCATTGAAATCCAAATGTTTGTAAATTCAAACAGTTCCATATAGAGACTTGTAAGACTAGAGATGAAGAGCTCCTTCATTTGTTTATTCCATGTCCTTCATGCAGCGGGTTAAAAATGGCAACGAACCTCCTTTGTACAAACTGATAATGATGTTGAGGTTGACCCTCTTAACTGGAAGATAACTCCTGGGTGTTAAAGCTAATTATTGACCACTCCTCCATGATTTTCAAGTGCAATAGGAATTATCCGGTTGGCCATTATCGTGCGGCCAAGCCAAGTGTATGGTTGGGTTGCGCGATATTATATTCGGATCGAAAGTTCTGGGGTAATAACTTTAGGGTGCAAGTTGTGTCCTAAATTTTGGAGACAAAGGAACACATTAATCTGTAGCGCATATCCCATTACAGGCATATTGTCTATTCCATCATCTCTCTCTCTCTCTCTCTCTCTCCACACTGTTTCACATATTATTTCATCATCGCAAGATAGTGGTGGCTTTTATGTGCTCCAACAGAAGCCACCACCACCAACGCCTCCACCTCCTCTTTCGATTATCCAGCTCACTTCGTCGACACAAAAATGTTCCCTGCCCTTCTTTACCTGATCAATACATCTTCTGCATCTGTCACTCTGTATTGTATCGTATTGTCATTGCACCGACACCAATGCATCTCTCTATATCTCTTTCGGCTCTTTTATTGTACATACATGCATGTTTTATGTGGACTGTCTTGTTATGAACCGAATCCAACGACAATGATTAGTTTCCTTGATGCGTTTGATCAGCGAATACCTGGAATCCCGTACTTCAATTAACAATTTCTTTTTGTGTTACGTACTCAAGTTGCCAACTCTAAATAATAAGGAATGGGATTATATAAAGTTGCATTTGGCATTCTCTTGCCATAAACCGAATCCACCTGAATAATAATTGTAGCTTCGTTCTCGCGTTTGACCGACGAATATTACAATCGTGTTTTCCGAATGAATAAAAGTCAGAATTACCATTCGACAAAGTGTACCCTGACTGAATTTGTTTTGGTTCGATCATAGTTTGCCGGAAAAACCCCGACCGTGAGCATGCTTGGCTCGGGGCAATTTCGCAGATATGATCAGTGAAGCATCATGTACTCCAAACGAGCTCACAATGACAAGCAGCTTCTTGGCCAGCGAAATCAAGCACACTCCCTAATGAAAACACACAAAACAAACAGCAGTACAAGAAGCTACGAATAAATGTCATGGTAGTGACAACCTTAGTGATTTGGGACACTTTTCAAATATTTTTTAGGATGGAACAGCTGGTAGAGAGCCCTTTTCAGAGAGTATAAGTGGGGGGCATTAACTGAAGCGTCAGGTATGTGAAGAAGAGGATTGAAGGAATGAGGATGTCGTGCCTGAATCTCCACCTCCACCTCCACCTCCACCTCCATCAAGGTGGTCCAACTCCATAACTTATGCAGACTGAGAAGCAACATAAAACCGTGGGCCCATTGGGCCCTTCGACTCCATAATGACCCCCTTGGTTTATGCCTTTAATTCCCAAACTTACATTTCATGCCCTGCCAATGTGGCGGAGCTTATGTAGCTGCACCCTCCTTTAATGGATTTCCCCACCCCCATTTTACCTTTTGTCTCTGTACTTTCACGCTTTTTTTTTTTAAATCAAGTCCTTTGCCTTCTACATAGTCTCTATAGTCTCTAATCAAGTCTCTCCGACACCAAATTCGATCATACTCCTCCACTGACGTGATTGTCAGACGATGCAAAGTATGATGTGGATATCCACGTGGACCATTGTCATAAAATTTGGGAAATGATGAACTAATGGCACCATTACTAACGGTGCCGTCTCCGCCACCAACTTTTTTACCCAATTTTTTTGGAAAATCAGGAACAGAAAATTTCAGTTGGGATTTGCGTAAGTGCAGTTCCTTATGTATGAAAAGGAAAGAAAGCAAGACAAAATTAATCTACAAAATCATGAAAATAATATTGCTAAAGAGAGATTATTAATGTTATTAAAAATATCCTTTAATTTGTTAAAATAGGAAAAAACATTACAATTGTCGTTTTCGAGACTGATGAAAATATTATTGTACTTTACATGGCACCTCATTCTTTGTGCTCAACTTAAATTGAACTGGAATGTGCTCTTGTTATTTTGGATTACTGAGACTCAAGTAAAGAAATTCTCGCCATTGTTGGATAACCGCATTAACTTTTTTTTTTTTGGTTGGATAACCGCGTTAACTTAACCGACTCCCTTTCACCATTTCTTTTGGTGTAATGATTCCTTCTTCACTAGCATATTTTTGGTCTCATTGGCATTGCCTTCATCCACCACTTAACCTGCATCTATCTAAAAGGGATTTGAAAGAAAAGCGATCGAGTATTGTATTTCTAAAAATAACATTTTCACGGAGAACAATCGAAATTGATATAAAATACATCACTTTCTCGCAATCAAAATCAAGGAATTGATCAATGAATCTTTCTTGCTTTAACATTAGCGGCTCACTTGTATTTTCATTTGTCAACAGAAAAAATGTTCTACATTTGTATACTTAACGGACTTCAAAATCTTAAAATAACTTAAATTTTGGAGTACACTAGATGTTGTTATTATTTGAACGATCAACATCCATCGTGCATTTAAATTTTGCACTTCAATTACTTACGATTTTTTTTTTATTGCTTGATTCTTTTCAATTTTTTTTATTTGTTTCTTTAAATAAACTAGAAAGATACCACTTTCTATTGCTTATCTCTTACAGACTGAAAATTGTAGTCAAAATTCCACCGTTAGAAATTCTAGGTAACTGCAACTGTTCCACTAGCACCGTCCATTAAAATTCAGCTAGTGTGAACCCCATATGAGTATGACGTGAATAAAATTTAGCCAATATGGATGCTCGCGTAGCAGTCTGGATTGCAAAAATATTATGCGCGTCACACTACGATGTCCTCCAACGGCAACATCAATTGGATTTAGCCAGAATTGGTATTGGAGGGACTTGATTAAACAAATTGTGAAAGTTGAAGTACTCGACAAGAGGAACCGAGAATCTAGAGACTTAATTAGAAAATGGACGAAAAATAGAATATCTTTTTTTATTTGATTAGGGTAAGGATAGGCATCGAGCCCCATGCATATCATTCATCCACGACATGTGAAGTGTCGGACAAATTGTGACGTCGAACGAATCCAATTCATGAAACAAGCAGCCAAGCATCTGAGCGAGAGTCCGTTTCTTTGATCAGCCGACTTGATGAGACGAGACCAAAAAAAAAAAAGGGTTTGGGAGATTGCATTACATATATTAACCCTGTCTTTTGCATGCCTGTCATATCGACAAATGACCATCAAAACTTCCGTACTCCACGCAAATGCTCCATGAATCTGACTAGATAGATCTAATAAGATATTAAACGTGACGACAACACGTGCAAAGCAATCCACATTCGAGAAATAGAAGTGAAGGCAGGCATTCTCTTTCTTTCTTTCTTTCTTCTTTTTATAGCAAAGGTCTTGCCACGCGGCTTCCCGGGCTTAACCGTAGCTCAACCGGCTTCCAACTTCCACAAGTTAGTTAAAGACGGTTATACTGGGGCAATTTGGTCTGTGCTTTGACCAATATAGCTCAAAACTTGCTGTAACCAAAAGGGGAATCGAAACTCGCAAGCAGCATGTCCACCAATCTGAAGCTCCAATAGAGAGCGGAGTGAGGGCTCCTATGGCATGAATCTGCATCTTGAACAAATTTCGGCCGCGATATAACTCTCGGCGCCTTGGATGTCCGGCGGTTGCTCCTCGGCTGCTCGTTCTTATCATGGTCTTAAGCCAGAAAATTGGGCAGCATGCGGACTCTGAAGGTGCTCATGCCTCCCCCTGCCATGAACATTGCCCATGTAAGTCGGGCTGTCCATGTCCCGCCGCCCAGCCATGGCGATTCGGGTTTCCTGATCAAGTGCGTCAAGACGACCAGCGACGATCTCTTCGGCATCTCCTTTGACGACACCGCCGAGAATAACTTATTCTCTCATGTGCTGTTAGAAGTGTCGTTCGTCATCGTGGTCACTCGGATTATCCGATTTCTCCTCAAGCCTCTTCGTCAGCCTAGAATTGTCTCGGAGATCCTCGTAAGTATTTCACCCTCCGGTTTCTTCCAACTTATTCTATGTTCCTGTGATTTAACGCCTTGTGGTGACAATGGCAATTCAAGAAAATGAAACAATATGATTAAATGGACCCAAAGCAATGCTCACTTTGATTTTCTGTTTGTTGTCTCCTCCATATTCTGTAGGGTGGAGTGCTCGTCGGACCCTCCATTCTGAGCCACATTCCCAAGTTCGTAAAATATGTGTATCCAGGTAGCGCCAATTTCGTGGTGCGGAACGTTGGCGTAATCGGTTTCATGTATTTCCTATTCATGGCGGGTGTGAGAACTGATATGTCCATGGTGAGGAGGTCGGCGAAGAAACATGTGTACCTAGCATTGACAGGCGTGTTCATTCCCTCGTTCGTAGTGATAGTAGTTGGTCTGATCATGCGACGGTCCATGAATGACGCTTATGGAAATTCGTCTTCCATTGCGGTTCTTGGTTCGTCCACGGCTGTAACGTCATTCCCCGTTCTGTATCCCATCCTCAAGGAACTGAATCTTCTGAATTCTGAGGTTGGACGCCTGGCCTTATCGTCGGCAATAGTCGGGGATATGATAGGAATCGTCGTTGTCATTCTATTCGAAGCAGCAATCCAAGCGAAAACCGGTTCCATCAAAGGCTTGTGGTGCTTGGCTACAGTGGTGGTAACGATGGCCATCATGTTTCTCTGCATTAGGCCTGCAGCTTCTTGGATCATTCGAAATACCCCAGAAGGCAAGCCCGTCGACCAACCTTACATCATAGTGATCCTTGTTGGGGTATTGGTCACGGGGTTCCTGACCGACTTCTTAGGCGTGGGCATCGCTAACGGGCCTCTGTGGCTGGGGTTGATGATTCCTGATGGCCCCCCGCTCGGGACAACTTTGGTGGAGAGGAGCGACACTATAATCATGGAGCTTCTTATGCCGTTTTCCTTCATGTACATCGGCCAGTCCACGGATTTGGCTGCGATGGGGAAGGCGTGGTCGAACCTGAAACCAATATTGGCCATTGTTGCAATTGGGCACTTTACTAAAGTGGTGTCGAGTCTTTTGGCCGGTCTCTTAATCGACATGCCCGTCGCGGATGGTCTTGCCCTTGGCCTCATCATGACTCTGAGGGGTCAGGTTGATGTCTTGTTGTTTGCTCATTGGTCGGAAAAAGAGGTACACATCGCGTACAAGAACTTAATCGAATTTATTTGTGAGCATATACAATATCATTCTTTAACTTCTGTTTGTCGTCGGATTCCAAAATGAAATGCAGGTCATACAACCTCAGGTGTACACGATGATGGTGATGCTTTCAGCGGTGGTCAGTGCAATATCCACACCGCTGATCGGCATTCTGTACGATCCCAAAAAGCCTTACATGGTGAACCGAAGGCGAACCATCCAACACACTCCTCCTTCCACAGAATTCGGCGTAGTGCTTAAAATCCACGACGAAGAAGATATAGCCAGGTTCATCAACTTCATAGAAGTCTCCAATCCCACTGTGAGCACTCCGATCTCAATCTATGGTCTGCACCTCATGCAGTTGGTCGGTCGCGGGTACCCTAGGCTCTTCGACCACAAAAAGCTGGAGCAGTATTCTAAGTACGCCATCTACGAGACCATCCACCAAGCCATGAAACTCTACCAGGAAAGCAAGAGCGAGTGCATCAGCTACCACGCCTACACGGCCATGTCCCCGAAGCAAACCATGTTTCGAGATATATGTGAGCTCGCCCTCATTAACAAGGCTACTTTGATCCTCCTCCCATACCACAAAAATCTCCCCCGGAACCATCATAGAACTGTGCTTGTGAGCAACGTGTTGGATAACGCACCGTGCTCCGTGGGCATTCTCTTGGACAAGGGCCATTTTAGAAGCAACTCGATGCCGATGGGCGACCTTTCTGCCTTCCGAGCACAGTCCCACCAATTAGTCCTCCTATTTTTAGGAGGCGCGGATGCTCGAGAAGCGCTTTATTACGCAGATCGGATGGTGGGGAACCTGAACGTGCGTCTCACCGTGATCCGATTCCTTGCCCACGACGGGCTCGGGGATGACGAGATGGAAAAGAAGCTGGACGACGGGGTGGTGACCTGGTTTTGGATGAAGAATGAGGTGAACAGGAGGGTACATTACAGGGAGGTGGAGGTGAGGAACGGCGAAGAAACGGTGGCCACTGTCCACGCGATGAACGACAACACGTTCGATCTCTGGATCGTGGGGAGGAAGCAGGGCATAAACCCGGTGCTGCTGCAAGGGTTGACGGACTGGAGCGACAACAACGACCTGGGAGTGATAGGAGACTTAGTGTCGTCCATGGATTGCAATGCGGCAGCTTCGGTGCTAGTGGTCCAACAACAAGTTCTGAGGGAGCAAAAGCATTGGCTCCGGCGTTTCGGGTGACACAACAGAACCTTAGGAACAGATGGTCTGTAGAGTCTTAGTTTGTTCAGGATGATTATTAGGAAAAGCATCCAAGCGGAAGAAGCATGAATGATGATGATGCCTTCTTCTGTGGAAGAGATGTCGCTCGATACGATCATTGTCTGAAGTGCTGAAATCGCAGTTCCATGTTGGATGCTCCATGCATTTTCATAGAGTGAGATATAAGACAGTGCTTTTGCAACCTCTGTCCGGGACTGTCGTGGCCTAATGAAACATAGTATCTTCTGTTCAAATGCACGCCAGTGCATCATCAATTGGAAGAACACAGAGCATTGCATCGACCCACTTTCTTTTTCTTTCTCTCTTTCGTAAGGAAATGTTCACTAAAAGTCCTAAAACTTGTCATGAAAGTGTAATTGAATCCTAAAACTTGCAAAAAAATGCAATTGAATCCTAAAACTTGTCAAATTAGTTCAATCGAGTCTTAAAGTTAACATCGTCTAACTTACTAACGGAAAATGTTGACGTGACTTATTTTAATATTTTCTCTTTCCTAAATGGCGATGACGTAGCTAAATTATGAAATATAAGACTAAAACAACATCGTTTTGACCAAAATATTATTTTTAATACTAATTTTATTTAAATTATATTTTAAAAAAATAAGCTAGATATTTATAAATAAAAAAAAGAAGAGGAGGAGCCCTCGCCACCGCTGCCCCACTATCGCCGGGAGGGGCCGGCGGGGGTCGGCGGCCCTTGGCCGAGGCCTGGCGACACCCTCCTGTCGTCCCCCACCCTTGCTAGTCCCTCCCAGTGATGGTGGGGCTGTGGCGGCGAGGGCATGCAGCCCTCCTCGCCTGTCCTCCTCTTTTCTTTTTTTCCCCCTAATATTTAGCTTATTTTTTTAAATTTAATTTAAATAAAAATTAGTATTAAAATTTAAAAAAAGTCACATCATCACCACTTAGCGAATTGAAAAATAATAAAAAAAAAGCCACGTCAGCATTTTTCGTTAGCCAAATTGGACGGTGCTAACTTTAGGACTCGATTGAATCGATTTGAAAAGTTTTAGGACGTAATTATATTTTTTGCAAATTTTAAGACTCAAATATACTGTAGTGACAATTTTTAGGACTTGTAGCGAACATATCACATATTTTATTTTTGGGCTCGGGACAAATTGGGTCTTCGTTGCTCCTTCTTTTGGGCTCAAATAGTTGAACCTTAAGGCCTTCTCTGTCTCCCTCTCTCTTTCTCCGTGTATCGCAGAGTGAAAGCAGAAGCGGGAAGTGCCATAGCCTACCAGAGAAGCGAAAGTGAAATTGCTTCGGAAGCACGGGTAAAGGAGAGAAATTTTGGCGGCAGTTTTCAGATCCATCGGAGGTCAATCAGTCGCTGTGCTCTCAGCTATGGAAGATGAGCCGTCGAACCCGCTTCGTCGCATGTCCAGCCGGACCCGCAAGGTCGCTCCCAAGATGGGGGCTGCCCTCGCCAGCAGCGACAACCGAACTCAGGTCCGTCTTATCCGTCTCCGATGTCGTGCCCTTGATCTTGAGCTCACAGACCCAGAACCCAGAAAAGGGTTTGAGAGTTTGTTGATCTGGAATCCCTTCTCGCTTCAGGCCGTGCTTGCTCGACTCGAAGCTCTGGAGAATGACAATGCCGGAATCGAAGTGGCGGATCCCAACGACGACGACGAAGCTTCCCTGGACGACGACGACGACGACGGTACTTTTTCATTTCTGGCCTTGTATAGCATAGCCAAGTCTCTGTTGCCAATTCTCTTCCTGGGTTTTCTTTGCTCTGTTTTATTTTTGGCTCAATGCTAATTCTCTTCGGTCGCTAATAAGTTACTTTAGTATCATCATCCCCTAATCCATGTGGCAGTGGAGTTCCTTATCCTTAGTGAAGTCTCTCATTAGCCAACTGTTAGCTGGTGAAAGTAATATGGCTATCCCTTCTGGATGCTAGGCTGTGCAATGCGTTCCTTGATCTTGGTATCTAACTCATAGCTCTAGCTCTGCACTCAAGCTAAAAAGCATTTCCCTCGAGTCCGATACCATAGTTTAAAGTCCATAATAACTTTGGTTCAATTAGGTTGATTCTGAGTAGCTCGGCTAAATTTGTGATGATTTGATGTTCTTGTTTGTGCGAGTGTTCCACTTCATACATTTATAACCAGCCAGGTGAAAATGCTTGGGCTGACTCTTCCCTCCCTCGTTCTATTAACGTCCTCGCCCCAAATCAAAATCAAACCGATGATGAGTGCCGCCTGCATTGTCAAGATTACCCTACTCCTACTCATCCATAATCACCAGACTTCGGGTGGCTTGTGTTGTTTGGCTCCTCTCCCTGTATGTGTTCTTTTCAGTGATCATGAGTTATGCGATGTACGTAGGACAAGTGTGCTTGGCTGGGCTAAGGAGAATTAGTCTTCAGAAATGGGATAAATTGTTGAGAACTTACACATTTCCACCCAAACCCACCTGTCTCCACACCGCGAGGAGCCGCCTGAATAATGATATTTATGTATTGATCCGTTTCTGTCGATTTGATTTCTCTCAATGTTCTTGTCATGTCCACCCCGTTGGTGAAGTAATGCTTCTGCTTTTGTTCCCTTTAATGATTATGAGGATCAATGGCTTTTCCTTCCTTCTTGACTGGTAGATGAATTTGGTCGCTCTGATGTACAGTAGTTTCCTTGGAAAGCATTATGGAGATATATCAAACACGTTTTTCTTCGTCAGGTCTTTAAGCTAGACCTTGTGAGGAAAGCCATCGTTTGGTATTGATCGTGCATGGTGGCTTTATGTGCATTATTAATACATGCAGGTGCATGTTAGAAACTATTTGCTCTCTTGGACTTTCGGCCGCAGGTTATATGCACAAAAAGCAATCGAAGAGCACAAAACGTAAAACACGTCAAGCGAAAGCTCTTGAAAATGCCAGGAAAGCTCCTAGAACATTCCTTGAGCTACTGCATGAGGTATAAGATTGGTGCAAATGCTTTTCGTTTTGGCTATTATCTTTATGAGTTAGACGTTCTTTCTTTCTCATAACGACATCCTTCTGAATACAGGCGAACCTCGAATCCTTGCCTCCTCATATTCCCTCATACTCAAGGGCAGCGGTTGGGCCTCCAAGTTCTATCTCCCGTCGCCATTTTTGCACCGTTTGTGGGTTCACAGCCACTTATACATGTGTGAGGTGTGGGATACGCTTCTGTTCTCGCCGATGCCAGAACATACATAACGATACCCGTTGTCTTAAATTTGTGGCCTGATTAGCTGGGAAACTGTCAGCAAAGAGGTTTTGCACTGAGCAGGGGATACGCTCTTAATTCAAATTGTTGCATGGCAGGTTCATTTGCAGATTTGTCTCCTTTGTAGGCGTTTTGTAACCAATGTATCTTTTAAGCCGGATCTGATTGGCATGAGTATTGGGTTGTCTGGTGCCACAAGGACTGTCAATGTTAGAGGATGATTTTTAGTATGTAGATTCAGGGGGTAAATTGTCTCTGGATAACATCATTTGCTTCATATAGCTGGCGGCGAAAGCTTGCTACCGGTAGTACTTGCCACTCGACAGGCGGCACAGGCCAAATGTTTCCAGTGCTTTGTCTATCAGTGTATGTATCCGATGCCTGCCAGTAAGTCAGCACTCAACCGTATACTGTAGAAAATGACAATCTTGGAATATAATTTCCGATATTGGTTTCACACTTTTATTTTCCATATGGAATCCACTACCATTGGAACTATGCCAAAGCGGCTGTTCAATGGAACATCACAAATTTCTAACTCATCCAATTAACATCAAATCATAGGAAAAACAATGACGACAGATCTGGGAGAACAATCAATCATAGAACATAATGACTGGATTCGAGATATCCACCAATCCTGGAACTTTTGCAGTGTAACCGGCAATTGGTTTAACAGCGAGGTAGATCTGGTGGGGGTGGTATTACAGATTGCAACTCCCCAACACCGTTCTCCACCAGGAAAGACATGGCCAGACCCCAGACCAGATGAGAGTCAATGTGACAATGCAGCAGCCACACTCCTGTAATGAACAACACAGGAAAGAGAAATGGTCAAAATATGAGGTTGCGTTGTCTTTTTGCACTTTGCTTTTTCTTTATTTTTCTTTTCGATTCATGTACACTGGTTGTTTCATTATTTTACCTGGATTATCGGCCACGAATCTGATCGCTACCCAACCACCTGGAGTTGTTCCAATCGTATTCCTCACTGGGGGATCGATAAGATTGAACTTGGCCGGATCATTTCTTGGATCGAAGTTCCCAAATCCCGCCCCAACCACGGCGAAGGAATATCCATGAAGATGCATTGGATGATCTTCTGTTGTAACAATGCTTGTATCTTGAAATACAAGTTGTACCCTGGAACCATATTTTAGCTTGTAAAGCTTAGTTGCTTTTACAGGTTGCCATAGACCCCGACTCACGTTGCCAGTGTAATTAAATGGAATTGGAGGGACGGGTGGAAAATCTGTTGTGAAGACTCCGGGAACACCTTGATAGTAGGCTTGCATCAAGGAATTTGTTCTAGGAAAAACAAAAGAAACATTGTTCACGCTGGCAGCGAACCGAGTCCCATTGGGACCTTGACATCGAGGGCTGTTAGGATTGGAGCAATTGATAAGTCCTAATCCTACAGCGAAAAATAGGTTTTCGTCAATTTGAGTCGGGACTTGGATCTTCCCAGGACTCCTCAAGCTCGAAGTAAATGCAGTTGCAGTGGCTGTATCATTAAAGGCAGGTAGTCTTGGGAGAATTGGCCTAGAGGATTGTCCCTTCCCACTACTACCAGATGTCGATATGTATTGGAGAATTGCTGTGGTGGTGGTGTTATCAAAGGCTGCATTTTGAGCAGTCTGGTAGGCTTGTGCTGCCATGTAATAACGACCCGGGGCTTGGTTAGCCGTAATGAGCACGTTGGTGGTTTGCCCAGGTCCTATCATGATGACATTGGTCGCGAAAGGCCTGGTGTAGGCGGCGTCGACGCCCACGACCGTCATTTGATGGTTTGCGACGGAGAAGTAGAGTTCTTGATTGAGTGCAGCATTGATGATCCTCAAGAGAATCGTTTCGCCTGGTATCACTGGAAATACGGCGGTTCCTGCATTTTAGATGCATGGTCACATTTCCTTCTTCACCATCCAATGAGTCTTAAATAGAGGGGTGAAGTAGTTCGAATTGACTACCTTTGCTAGAGCATCTGTACAGATCTCCAGGTTGACCGTTGATTGTATACGCGTCAGATACATTTGGAGCAGCGCCTGTGAATAATGCTTGTTTGAGCACATCCATTGGATTTCGATCCCACCATTCACCTGTTCAAGGATGCAAAAAAATCACTCATTTTGTTGCTCAAACTAAACTAGAATTGAAACAAATTGCCATGGAACTATTGAAATCTACCGAGAAGTATAGGGAATTCTCGCTTGGGCATTGGGAATGGATAATTGAAACCCAATTTGGGATAGATTATGAGAGCTCCATAAACGGTGGCCCTAAGCCATTTGCTGTGAGCATGCCACCACAATGTTCCTTCCTGGTTTTGGATGGTGAATCGATATGTGTATGTTCCTCCAGGTTGGATAGGGCATTGTGTCACATATTCAGGTCCGTCTGCCCATGGGTTTCGTATTTGACGCACTCCGTGCCTAATGGTCAGACAAGTCATGAGAAAAGTTATTTGAGTAGTGTAAGTTCTGTCCGTCGAAAGATCCAATGTATACATAGTGTTACATGAAAGAGTTTTAATGTAGCTTTTTTGCTATAGATTACCAATGCAGAGTGACGTTGTATCTGGCCCGATTTATGGCTGTGATGACCAGAGAATCTCCATCTCTCACTGCCAGTGTTGGCCCTGGGAATTGGCCATTAACTGTGATAGTGCTGTGGGTTCTGCATAGCCTCTTCACTGGCCTAGCTTGGATCTGTACCAATGCAATAAATCAAGCAAATTGACGGACAAAGGTTTGCGCAAAGCCCGTCATCTTGAATGACCAAAAAAATGCAAACAAAGGGGGGCAAAAGTAACATGTGGAGATCAAATAGAAGTACCACAAACTCATGGTAGTGAACTTCGGCGGCTGAGAAAGAAACCGAGGACACAAGTAGTGTCGCAAACAGAAGGCAAGAACACATCGAGAAGTTAGCAAGCTTGAGAGAGTCCATGGCTCTATCAGAAAGGGCTTGAACTGGAAGTGGGTATGCATTGAACTGATCAGGAGGACCTCCTATTTATACATCATTATGGGAGGGAAAGGAAAGACTACTGGTGTTATTCTTTACCACAAATTACAAATCCTTAACAAACATAAACAAAAACGTTAGCAAAAGTAGGTTTTGAGTCAGCAGCGAAGCTTAGATCGAAGGACGTTTAGTCCAACCGTAAAGAGGATTTGTTACACCCACTAGCCCGATCAATTGCCTCTCTAAAGAAAGAGATTCTGTACTTGGGTACAACGAACTTCGTTTTCTCAGATTAGACTTTGTGGCTGGGGCAGGTGCAAGATTTGATTACGCTCTCTTAACTTTAAGTCAGTAAAACCGCCCTACCATTGCCTGTGAGTGGGAGGACAAACAATAACATGTCCCACCAAGTCATTTGTTAAGGGCCAAACAAGAGAAAATAGGCTCGAATCCCAAGAATCACGATTAGTCCATTAAGATGCTAAGATTAAACACCATGTAGTTACTATCAACGGGAAAGACGTGGGTTTCTCTACGCGCTCATATTCAATTGTTGATAGCTAAGGAACTAGTCCGACATTTGACATCAGATGTTTGCTCAACGATTTAACCGCACGTGGACCCTATCTGAGAGCTTCTTCAAGAGTTCCTTCATAATTTAAATTGTTCTTCTTTCTGGCGCTTTGAGCTGGAGTGATTTTACTGTAAGACAGCAGGTGCAGGTTCAGCTCTTGGTCGGGTTCGGTCAACAAAGCAAAGAGCAAAACGTATTTTATGCTTTTGAGAGAGCGCAAGCCATGACCACCAAGTTCTATGGCGATAGTGAAGGTGTCAAAAGAAATCATGTGTTCCTTAAATAGATACACTCGAGAAGAGTTCATCACATCACTAAATGTAAATCAGTCAAGGATATAAACCTAGTGTTGTTCCTCATGAATTATCTGTCCGTTTGAATGAACACCCTCACTAGAAATAAACAAAAAGCACAGCGGCCAACTTACGCAGCCCCAAAAAGTATAATAGCTCTTTGGTTGTTTTACCTTGAGGATTGACACTCCATGCTTGTCATAGAAAGGCACATTAATACAAAAGAATCATTACGGTTCTTGTACGATGAATGGAGTAGCCCGCCACCTTAAGTTTCTGCAAATTATATAAACATTAAACGGTACGACGTGGCGTGATCCTGTTTGCATGTAGCCAAAAATGTCTCCCTTTCGCTTTTGGTACGCGTCTTGTTTTCAAACACCAATCAAGCCGATGATTTATGCCGACCGCCACTTTCTCTATTTTTTTTATTTTTTTTTTATTAAAGGTCAACAGAAGAAGCAAAGGAGACAGGTTTTGTAGGTCTACTCCCATGTTTCCCCGTAACTACTTGACTAACTGAAACATAGGCATTTCTGTTTCTAAAAATATGGTTAGAAGACGTATGTCAGCAGTGTTGAATTAGGTAGCATGATAGCAACTTCATTGCCTTCCAGTTCTTCCTGTATTTTGAGCAGGTAACGTCACCAGTTGCTTCAGCTGGATCAATAAATAATTGAGCTCCAGAAAACAAACACCAGTTGAAGATCTACATTACCACTGGCTGTACGAGGATTTACGTAGACCAGAGTCATATCACTCCCAATATGGGTTGCGCGATGAAATTGAACATCTGGAAGACCCAATGGACAACAAAACAAAATCAGGGAGGCTCGAAACATGTATGAAATTCTCAGACTTGTTTAAATAACCAGCCAATATCTTTGGTTCTGCTGCACAGGCTGTTTGTAGGATTTCTGAGGGGGCACAGATCAAACGCAGTCGTTTCCCCAGAGTGTCCTCTTGCCTATGACTTAGCATTACAATATTACAAAATAATAAGAATAGTGCATCCAAAGAGGTATATCTTGATGATCTCCATCTAAAGCACATTAAAAAAAAAAAAACTGCGCAGTTCGATTAAATTGATGAAATGATGCGCATCTTATTCCAGATAGAATATTTACACTACTTAACAATGAAAAAGGATGTAATGTCGCCCAAATAATATTAAAGAATTGAAAGATGATCTTGCTTGTGAAAATCTTTTGAAAAACAAAAAGGCATCAGAGCAATTTCAAGTTCATCTAGGGTACACAATCCAGCAAACTCTCAAACCACCCCGAGACTGCTCAGAAGGCTATGTCATCAGTGACTGCAGTGAAATCTTGACATCATGGGAGACCCGAAAGCATAATCAGAGATAATGTCCCTTGCAGCCCTTGTCAGCTAGTCTCTGCTGAGATGGAAAATCTCTCATCCACGTGGAAGTGAATGGAATCCGCTTAACACATTTCAAGTCTCACAATTGGCAGTACAGAAACTGTTCAGATTTGTGAAATCTGCTGTTTTAGTGCGTTCAACGTTCTACATTTTGATTCACAAATTGAAAGAGCTTCAGAAAGAACTGCACGTTGACCACTTACTATTTTCCTAACAAGATGATTAGAATCCCAAGATTTCAATGCTCCAGAGATTCTATCACCAAGTTCTTTACTGCCTGAAGAGCGCGCAGTCTCTAAAATCTGGAAAACTCGCCCAGGCCTCCCCTTTTGTACTTCATTCCTCATGGACAGCGAAATGCCTTCCAGAGTCTCTTCCTTACACTCTAACATCCTAATCTGATTTCTCAACCATTTCATAATATCTTCAAACGTACCACATAGAGATCGGATTGAAGCGTGAACTACACTGGATAGGGTCGAGACTGATGGATCCACGGATCCGCCTTTCTTTTTCTTCTTTCCAGATGGAACAGAAATTCGGACACAAGACTGGATTAGAAGAGCATGCCAAGACAATGGCTCTGTAATCAGCCGAACTAACATATGAAAATTAGTACAGTGAAGAGATATCGGGGTACTCAGGAACTTAAGCCGCTCTAATGTACACTTCTTGAGTAGGGTGTCAACATCATGCCAACTTCCAAACTTATGAGCCTCTCTCTCTTGCGAGTCAAATTCATTAGAATTCAACTTCCAAGCATTAGAGAAAACAGCAAAATTAACCCAGTCGATCGTGTCCATACCAAATACCTGCCCAAGTTAGGGGTAGAATAAGAAGATGATGAAACCAATAAGGGTTGGGTGAGATTCGCGGCTTCTCTTTTTTATTTTTTCAATAAAGGAAGCAAAACACTATGTCCTCGACCTTCCAAGTTTAAGACGTGGATTACATATTTAGGAGTACTTGCAAAATCTAAGAGTGCATGTTCTTTTAAGCATGAGGAGTGGCTGTCAGTTTTCACTAAGAATTATTTGTATGCCAGTATGAGGTACCCCTTCTCACAAGCAGCATAAGTGAAATTCTAAAGAAAGAATATAATCATACCTCAGTTGATATTAAACCTCTACACACTTCCTCAAGCACTCCCAACGCATCAGATAAATGATAACCCAAAATCTTTGCATAGTGTTCAAGCAGGAGCTTCATCTCTGATGAGACATTAGGATTTGATACAGACCCGTTCACTTCAATGCCATCCTTGAAGGATACTGAGGCACTCTGGATAGAGAGATATATCATTCGTGGAAGAAGGGCTTTCTTCTCAATCAATGTCCGCATGTTGGCTTCCCTTTTCTTCATCTAGTTTAGTGGCAGAAAACCAAATTTTAGTCCGAAGTACTTGAAAGGATGAAAATGAACGCATTGATCATGCAAAAAGATCCTTCATAGAAGACAGTTCAGCCAATAAGAATTATTCCTAGAAGACAAGGACAAATGAAAAGAACACATCTAGGGGGACAACGAAGAGAGCAACCAGAATTTATATGAGTTAACTTGAATGTCATCAATGGAGGAACTTTTTCAGATTCTGGAGTTATGTACTTATGTCAATGAAATTATAGTGACCTGTGGGGGAAGAAGGGAAGTACATTCTAACAGGACCGTGAAATTTTAGTATGTGGAAGCAACAGTGCTTCATGATGCCAACCACTTTTCCCCAAAAATACAGTTTGTCAAAAGAGTAAAAAGAGAGTTGAGCAAGAACTATATGCCAAAAATCTAGTTTCCCAGTCCAGACAAAATAGTTGGCATACCAGAAGATTTAGAGGAAAATAGGATTATAACGATGCTCTATGGCATTATAAGACAGAAAAGCAGATAAAATTAGTTCTTTGCCAAAAATGGCAAGAACTTGATAGTGATACCCTATATATTAGGCTTTTTATCATTCCAAAAAAAGGGAAAATACTACCACCACAACCAATTATGAAAATCATGCTTGTCTTGAATGTAATTATAGATTTTTCAGATTTCCTTCCAAAAGTGTGTACGAAGCACCTCTTATGAATTGTTTAACTTGGGGGAAGCAAAAATTGTGATATCTGAATCTGCACTTTAACTCATTTTTAATATCATATGTTGAAGTATTGTCCCACATCGCTTGACAACGGGTCCTAAATGCTTTTTATATTTATGTGGTCTCCCTCCACCTATTAGCTTAAGCTTTTGGGCCGGACTTTCTAACATCATGATAATATGAACTTACTGTCACTGGTTTAACTAGCCCATATAATCCCAACCTAAAGGGTTTGACTTTGTTGTGTGCCAATTTGGTCTATTAGGCTTCTAAGTCATAATATTGTGCAAAAATTTAGGCATATCAGAAAACCACCAATTGCTCCATTGCAGTCACATCTCTCTAAACTCATGTTTTTCGTTGACCACATACCTTTTGATAGAGGATTTCACTGATCACATAAAACTAATGGATGTGATGGGAGATCCATGTGGAAGATTGAATACTTAGACTTTCCTGGAGCTGATGCCCACAGAATTTTTTAGCCCACATGTACAAAGATACAATTGAATTTCTATTTGGTGTTTACCACTCATCAAGAAACTAAACAAGTCAGAATCGTAAAAAATTCTTCTAAAAAATGCTTCAAGTCTGCAAAAGGTGCAGTCTCATGTTACATGAGACCTAACATCTCCGCACATACCAGCCTTTTGCCCATCATTGATTTTCC